CCCCCCCCCCCCGCCCCCCCTTGCCCAAGGAAACCTGCACACAATACCAAAACAACTACCGGAAGTAACGCGAAATCTGTTGAAAGCATTGTTGCGCAAGGACCAAAAAAAAGTTTACTGTACAAAACCGAACAAAATGTTCATTGGGGTGTTGGGGTCCACAAGACATGATCTGAAATCTCCACAATAGCAGCCCGAGTTGGTTCCCCTTCCTTCCCTTCCCTCAATTTGACGCTCTCGTGCGTGACACGCTGCTTCAACACGCGGGGGACACGCCGCTGTGCTTGATAAAACATTAAATCCAACGCCGCATGCAAGACAACACACACACACACACACACACACACACACACACACACACACACCGGTTTCTGGCGACGCATACCGCTGAAACAAACACGCGCACATCAGAAAAGCGAATTCGATCTTCAAACTCGCGGCAGTCACTGCTGAATCAGCCGGTTTGACCAGGTCGATAGTTCAACAAAAAAATAAATCACAAGACATGCCCAGATATCGTGGTAGCGTTTCTTATCTCGCCATAGGACTGACGCATTTTGTTGGTCATCTAGGCTAGCGCGGTCGACGCTCTACACACGCACATTGAAATTACTCTCCGCGAACCCCCTGCTTGGAGAGCCCGCCGTTTGGAAAGCGTCCATACAGGTATTGTCCCACCACGATAGCGACGCCTTCATAGTGGTCATCCAGCTAGCGTGGTCGATGCCAATTTAAGGAAAACACACGAGAAAAGCCAAGAATAGGGTATCTGCTGTCGGACTCTACCCCCCGCCGCCTGCACGGGTGCACGAAGCTACACCCACTTTTCAATTTGCTTCTACATTTATCTCCTCGAAGGAGGGTTCCCCCGCTCTGATCTTCCTCGCATTTCTTCGTACAAAAGTAGCGTCTGTGCCACAAGAGGACGAACTGTTTCGTAGCTGCGGTCGGTCACTCAAAGTCGTCGGCCGAATCGTCCGTCTCCCAGCCCTCCTCTTCCGCGACTGCGGCCGTTACGGCAGCCGCCGCGGCGAAAGTGCCGTCTGCGTTCAACATCGCCCCCCCGGCGCCCTTCCGACCCGCTCCTTTCTGCCGACTGCCCGGCCCGTCTTGCCTCGCGCTCGGCCCCGCCTCCTTACCGCTGGTGCCCCCCTCCCGCTCCTTGTTCTCGCCGTGCCCGACCCCCCCCAGTGGCTGCTTCCTCCTGCTCTCCTCGGCATTGTCCGCCGCCCTTGCCGCCAACACCGCCGAGATCACGGCGTCCCGCACGCCCGCTGGCATGGCGTCGTTGGACCGCAACAGCCCCGGGAACACCACCATCGCCGCCGCCAGGTCCTCCTCCCCGGTGTCGCTCTTCAGCCTCCTGGTGGCCCCGCCGCCGCCTCCGCCGCCACCGCACGTGGGCACGAAGTCCCCGGACCAGCCTCCCGAGGTGTACCTCGCCACCGCCTCCGCTTCCAACGCCTGCGCCCGCGTCCCGGCGTCGTCGCCGTTGCCCCGGGCAACAGGAGGCGGCGGCGGCGGCGGCGGCCTTGTCTTGGGCGTGTACCAGTGGACGGTGACCTCTGTCCTCGACGGGACGCCGGCCTTACCGCTTGCGAGCACCCTCTTCCGCAGGATCTTGCCCAGGAGGAACGGGACCGGAGAGGAGCGGGGCGTGGGGAACACGACGAACTCGCCGACGTCGCAATTTAGGCGGCCTGAGGAGAGCGGCGTTGTGCCGTCGACCTTGTTGCGGCGTTGTTTCTTGCGGCTACCGCTACCGCTGCTGCTGCTGACTTTGCTCCTGCCGTCGACTTGTTCGGCGCGCTTGTCGTTGTTCGGGGGTCTTGTTGCCCCTCCGTTTACCGCCCGCGCTGCCCAAGCGGTAGCCGCGGCGCTTGCGCCGTCCGCTCTGTTCTTGGTGCCGCCGCCTTTGCTCGTGATGCCTGAAGACCGCTGCTGCTGCTGCTGCTGCTGCTGCTGCTGCTGCTGCTGCTGAAAAGACGAAGAAGAACAAGACGGCGTGGTGGTGCCATGCCCGACTCCGGGCCGAACCCCGCCGGTGACCCCACGGGGCGAACACGCTTGCTCCCCCCCGCTGCCAGGCTCGCCGCCGGTCCCCACGCCGCCGCCGCCGCCGCCAAGGCTCGACCGGAACATGTCGGAAAGGCCCCCTTGAGGGACCACCTCGGCCCGCGTGGGGATGTGAGAGCGCCAGTCTATTCGCGGCCCCTCAGGAGACCACGGCCGACGGCGGACGCCGCCGACCTCGGCGACCCCGCTCGCTCCACCGCCACCGCCGCCGCCATCGCCACAGACAAGGTGGCACACGCACGCGTCGCAGAGCTCCTGCTGCGTCAAGCTCTCGCCTGTGCAAGCAAGCAGTGTGAAGAATTGCACACGGGGAAGAGATCGGTCATGAAAAGAGACGGCCGGCATGCCAAACCCAACACAACGTAATGCTCGTTCTACTGTAGCGGTAGCTGGAACCTAAAGCGGCATCGAGGTGCGGCAAAAAAATGTTTCTCCACTGGCGGGTGGCTCGACGTGTCCGGACTACCAAAACCTCTTTGTGGTGTACCTGTGTGGAACAGGGAGTACCGGAGAGTTCTTGGAGGAGATCAACAACAACCGCAACAGCGTACCGCAATTTTCCAGCTTTCGCACGCCAGCCTCGGCCTCCTCCCACGACACCGGGCGCCCCATGAAGGTCTCCAGATCCAGCGCCAACCGATGCACCTGGAGAGACAGACAGATGTCGTCGGCAAGAGGCGCGGGTCGGGTCATGGTTGCTGTGGCTGGGGAAAAAGCAAACTCGACCCCACGCCCACACGCATCCTCGATCTATATAGACTGCCGGGTCGAAACGGGCAAGCGCACTTTGTTTTCCTCGCACACGTTCCTGGCGTGAGAGCCACCACCATACCAACGTAGGCCGCTTGTTCTTGTTGCTCCACTACTTGGGAACCCACCAATGGACACAACCCAAAAGAAACGGGGGGGAGGGTCTCTCGTTGATACTGGAGGCGACGCAACCAAAAAAACACAAACATCAACATCGTACATTAGTACAAACAGATGCCGGAAAACTTGAGACTTCGAACAGGCAGATGGCTCCGTAAACCTCCTCTCAAAACGCTGCTATGCACCAGGCGGCGGTGCAACAGCGAAGAAGGCAGAAAACAAACACCGATGACGCGGGGGGAGCGGCGGGACGCCTGGCCCGGGGGGTGGCGAATAGCACAAGCACATACTGCCTGGCTCCGGGAGTGCGCCCGCCGTGTGCGTCTCGTCATTCGCTACACTCGCTCAGCACGTGCGAAGAAAAGACAAGCCCCGAAAACAGGCCAACGGGCAAGGGTACTTGAGTACTGAACGAGCGTGTCTGTTGTCGGCGCCGAAAAACACGAACAAATCGATTGTTGTGGGTGTCGGTTAGGTGGCGCCGTGAATGCCAACGCGATAAACAAGTGTTTTGCTTAGCGGCTCCGACGGTCGTTGGTACTCCTGGAAATAGAAAGAAAAACAACTACTACGGCAGCACAGAACAACACAGCGGGGGCACAGCAACCAGGCACAGCAGCATAGAATAGCGAGTGTGGAGGCCATGACCCACGTCCAAGAAAATGACCACCTTCGCGGCGACGCTGTCCGGAATTCTTGCGGGTTTGACGGCTTGGCTCGGGCTGGTACCAACGACGGGTGGCAGTTGCACCGGCGCCGGTGCCGGCGGTGGCGACGGCGGCGACGGTAATTGCGCCGCATGCCCTTCTCCTTCCTGGCCCTCGGTGTCTTGCGCCGCGGGGGGTATGATCAGGAAATGGCCCACGCAGGCGTCCGCGAGCTCTTCTGAGGTCAGGCGATCTCCTGTTGCAAGATAGTGCAGAAATGGCGTCAGAATGTCAACAGCAGCAACATCAGCAGAACAGCAGCAGCAGTAGCAGCAGCAGCAACGACCAAAAGAGCAGCAGCGCCAGCAGCAAGAGCAGGAGCAGCGGCAACTTCATAATTCACCGCTGCAAATAGCAGCAGCAACGTCAAATAATGAGCAACAAAAGAAGTAGCATCAGCAAGAGCAGCGGCAACGACAACAACAACAACGACAACAACAACAACGACAACATCAACAGAAAAAAACACTCCGCCCTCACCGCATCTGTCCAGCTCCCGACAGGCCGCCTTCGCCTGCTCGGTGGTCACGCCGCACCCCAGCCTCGCAGACAAGTCCAGCGCCAGGCGCGGCACCTAACGACAACGGCAAAGACGATGGGCAACGGGGGCTTTGGTCGGAAACGTACATACTAGACACCTCAGAAGGAATGCTAAAAACATGGGATTAGGGCCGTAGGTCCCCGTGGTGCTTGTGAGCTCCTTAGAAGCTATAGAGAAAACGCATTCGGGGTATGCCTGCAAACGATCGGGAGGCACCATGTGCGCGAGGGTAAGGGCGAGACCAAGAGGAGGTTTGACAATTCTAATGGCATCGCGATGCGGAGGAAAAAAGGGGCGTGACGAAAGAAAGCAGCGCGGGCCAACGGTATTCGGAGGTGCGGATGGCGAGAAGGATAGGGTCGAGAAAAGCAAACACTATTTGGCGACCAAAATACGACCCAACACCAAAAAAAAAAAAGAGATTGCCGCCGGGCGGCAGTTCGGATCCCCCCTCTCGAGGGAGAGAGAGAGAGAAAGAGAGAGAGAGAGAGAGAGAGAGAGAGAGAGAGGAAGACTAAGAGAGAGACAGAGACAGAGAGAGCCCTTTGGTGCAATCAAAAGAAAAACAAAGGCGAACAAAAAAGCACTTCCATAGACCGACACAGTCAGCAATACGCAGCTGTTGACATGAAAATGAAGCCACTTCACCTTCGAGATAACGCTCTCGGGGAAGATACCGGACGATCGACGGGGCCTCTTTCTCGGGGCAGGGCTGTTGCTGCCCCTCCCCACAGCAGCGCCAGCGGCACTAACACCAGCACCAACCCGTAACAACACCCTATGGTTCCCATCCACAGCGCCCCCTGTTCTCCTCCGCTTGTTCGTTTCATTCGCGTCATCCGCCGGCCCCGTCGTTCTCTTCCCTGAGCCCAACTTTGTCTCCGCCCCCCGCCCTTCCCCCGAGACGCTATCGCTGGCTGCAACGCTGACCACCCGCGACGACTTCGACTTGGCTGCGCCGGCGTTCAGGGGCGCTGTACGGTTGGCCTCTGGCCGCTGGGGCTGGCGCTGTCGCGGCGGTGACGGTGATGGTGTCGGGGGTACAAAACCGCCGCCGCCGCCGCCGCCGCCGGCGTTGTTGTCCGCACACCCAACTGAGGACCCCACTTGAGCCAAATCTCGTGATTCCTTCTCCCCCTCCTGCTCCTGCTCCTGCTCCTGCTCCTCCCCCTCCTCCTCCTTCTCCTCNTCCTCCTCCTCCTCCCCTCCCTTGCCTAACTCCCTCTGGCTCTTCTTCTTATCCTTCCCGCGGCGGCCGACACCGCTTGCTACTACCGACGGCCCCGATCCCGAGGGCAGCAGCGACACAGCCGAAGCCGATGGCGGCGTCCGCAGCAAGCGTGACGGCAAACGTTGCGGGGACGCGGATCGCCTCGCCTGCTTGTCGTCCTCGTAGCGCTTTGAATCCTTCCGCTCTCGCTCCCGCCCCGCGCCCTGCTGGGCTCCCTCATTCTCTTCGCTGCCGCCTCTGCTACCGTAACATGCGGCGTCAGCGCCGCCGCTGCCGGCGTCATTGCTTGGGGCTTGCCGCTGCAGCAGGGAAACCAGGGCGTCGCACAGCTCCTGCTGGTTCAGACCCTCGCCTGCCATGAATGGCAACAGCAAAAACAACACCGGGTACGTTGAAAGAAAATAAATCAACACCGTCCAGTACCCCCGTTATTTCCCCTCAAACGATGACGCAGCGGGGTATGTATGATGTAGCGGGGTATCATTATCAACACGATTCTATCGGGGTTCTTAGACGCGCATTCGTAGTACGTACCGCAGCGGTCTAGCTCCCGGCAGCGGGCCTTAGCGTCGTCAGCAAACACCCGGTAGCCAACAAACTTCTCCAAGTCCATCAGCAGTCGGGGCACCTGGCACGACAGAGACACGCAGCAAATTCAAACGTAGGGTGGCGACGGTGAGGGGTGTACTCATAGTCGTGCATGCCGTAGTCGTTAGACCATTGACCTCGCATCCCTACAAAGCCGGGACGGAGCACGCCGGGTTCTCACCGGACCAGGCTCTCACATCACCAAGCGCGAAGCGCCGTGAGATATTCGGCGAGTCGCATGAAGGGTGCGCTGCATCTTGCTAAGGGTGTTCGGCATCTTGTGCTTCATTCCTTGCGTACGGATGACGGCTGCGTATGACTCAATTTATTTTCTGGTGCTTTCACTTCCAGAGGCAGTTATAAGCACTGTGTAACTGGCTCGAGGGTGCTTGACCATTTTAACACAACGTGGTGCGATCATCCCCCTTGCGCGGAGTGAGGATTCTCCACCCCTCCCAACATGATCT